AAGCCTCAACCGATACTCCGTTTGAAGAACTTCCTCAAAATCTATACATGCTCGGATTTTTGCTTAGATTTAACAATCATGTCATCAACATAGTCCTCTATGTCTTTATGAATCATGTCATGCAATAGTGTTGTGGCTTCTTGTTGATAGCTAGCCCCTACATTTTTCAAACCAAATTGCATAACCTTGTAGTAATAAGTCTCCCACTAAGTAGTGAATGTTGTCTTTCTTTCTTTCTTTTCTTTTTTTTTTTTTTTACTCTATTTTTTATTTATTTATTTATTTATTTTCTTCTACTTATGCCCAGAGAACCCATCAATAAATGATAAGAGTGCATAACTTGATGTGTTGTCCACCAAAGTGTCAATGTAAGGCAAAGGGAAATCATCTTTAGGACTTGCTTTATTAAGATCTCTAAAGTCAACACAAAGTCTAATTCTACCATCTTTCTTAGGGACATATACTACATTAGCAACCCACTGTGGATGTTCAGTGAGCATTAAAAAGCCATGATTTGTTTAGTGATTTCCTCATTGATTGTCAAACACCAGTCGAGTCGGACTCTCCTTAATTTTTGTTTGACAAGTTTGGCATCATAGTACAGAGGAATGCGATATCGGACAATATCTAGCTCAATTTCTCAATTTAAGGCATATCTTCATAATACCAAGTGAAAACATCTTTGTATTCTTTGAAAAGGTTTATCAAGTCTTTGCTTTCCTTAGAAGACAAACCAGAACCAATCTAAACTTTCCTAGGATTTTCAGTAGCCAAATTTAGTGATGAAGGTAATGAGTGAGGGGAAAGAGGCTCACAATAGGGCTAGGTGAGAAAAAAGGGGTTCACGGGGTGAGGTGGGTCAAAAGAAATTGAGTGGCGTTAAGGCTGTGATTGTAAGACTGGGTTACAAGGACAGTTGGGGGGAGATGGACAGGTTGTAGGAGAGGGGCTAGTGGTGGTATATAGTGGCTGAACATAGGAGGGGGTTGGTTGAGGTTCTTTTAAGATTAGGGCTTTTAGAGTTAAAGTTGGGTTTTTGGAAAGAAGATGCTTAGATTTAGAATTTTTCTCATACCAACTATAATTTATGGCACATGTAGATACTCCATTTTTTACTGACCCTAAGATTTCAGACGCTTCTAAGCTTCCCAATGATGAAATGATAAATACTTCATCCTTAGAGATGCTTAAGGTTGATAAGAACTACTGTGTAATCCCATTTTGGCTTAAAATCATCTTTTTATAAAAACGACTATTTTACCTCAGAACCCATATTTATTCAAAACATAAAAAGTTGATCGCCCCCTAGAGGAAAGGGGTCCGGTTGAGTTCGAATTAATAAATATTTTCAAAACATTGACTAAATTCATGTACAAACGTCAATTGGAAGTCAAATGGACCTACTTAGGCAAAGGAGCGTCCAAAAGTCTAAAACCACGTATTTGTGCATGCATGCATCGATGGCACGTGCGCCTACACATAGAAGCTTGGTGGCATGTGCGCCCACACATGGATTGCGCGGCTGCATATACTACCTCAATAGTTCGTGCAGCCGCACATCTTATTGGCATAGATTTTGGTTTCAAGTTGCAATTTGTTCGGGAGGCGCAAGGAGAAAGCAATGGGCAACCCAAGAACGACCTAGGGTGTTCTAGAACCTTGTCCCATTGCCTATATAAACCTGCGTCCCCCTCCTTTTTGAGGGGTTGAACTTTTGGCAAAGTTTTTGAGACTTTTTAAGAGAGAAACACCACCTTCCTTTAACCCTCACCCTCAAATCCGAAAATAACAAACGGTAACAACACCTTTTCAATTTAGAAGCACATCTAATGTCTAAACAAAGCATATCTAAGCAATGTCAAGCCTGAGGGAAGCTTGCAAGTAAGGAAACTCGTCAATTCGCCGTGTGCTCTCCAGTTTCTTTCGAACCAGTGAGTAAGTTACTGGTTTTTATTAATTTCAGTAGCTTCTACCTTTATTTTTCAGTATCTAATCATGTTAGGATGTTAGCATAGCATATCCATCATGTAGGATGTTAGATTTGCATGTTTTTCGGTTTATTTTGCATGGTTTGTTTAAGGTTATGTTAAGAGCATGTTTAGGGTAGTTTAAGCATCATGTAATCATGCATTAAGCTCGGTTTATCCATTGTAATATTTTGCATGTTTTGTTTATTTTGCTCGTTAGTTGCTTTTTGTGCATGAAATTATGTTAGTAGCCTAAACCCAGGTTTAGGATTACATATTGTATGTTTAGTAGCATGATTAGGTCATTATACTTTATTTTGATCATATTTTGAGTGGTTGGGGGCAAGGTGGTGGAATCCGGTGAGTTTTCTTACTTTTTATGGCATGTGCTTGTTATGTTGCATTGTTGTCAATAATCCCAGTTAAATGTTTTTTCATGCAAAATTGTTTTTTTTTTAATAATTTAATAAATATTGCTTAGTTTAGTTCTTGTTTATGGCTATCATGAGATAAAAAGCTATTTTTGTTGGAAAATCATTGTTTTGTGAAAATACATGGTTGCTCAGTGCTGTTTATTGCTGCTGTATACTGGTCTATGGTCACAAACATGCATGTTGTTCTTTTGATCTACTGTTGTATGCTACTGTCCTAAGGCATATTGCTGTTTGCAGAATGTTGCTGCTACTGTCTGTTGCTGGTGTAAGATGTTGATGCTGCTGTCTGCTGTTGGTGTAAGGCCTGTGTTAGTGTTTTGGCTGGAAGGTTATGGAGTTGGTTGGTGTTTTGGTTAGCAGATGATTGTGTTGAGTGGTCTTTTTTCTGTTTTTCGTTTTGTTTCTCTGTTTTGGATTGGTTTCTCGCCAATCTGTGGATTTAGTATTAGCAGATGATTGTGCTTCCTCCTTGGTGCCAACCTAATTAGGATTGTGGAATGTTAGTTATGATACTTTTTGCACTTCCCTCCTTTATTGATGCATGTTGTTGCTTGTTTTTGCTCTTCTCATCAATAAAGTTTCCTTTTTCTTTGTTAATCAAAAAAAAAAAAACATGGTTGTATTCATTAGATTTAAATTAAATGGTATTTATTTATTCAATCACCTAGTTTTAGGTTTAGTCATTTTAGGGTTTAATAATGGATTGTATGAAATAATTAATCTTTAAGGCCAATCTTCGGATTGGACAAAAGGATGTGCTTTCATTCAATAACTTTCCCTTTTTATACCTTAGTTCCTGAACCTTGATTATTTGGTTGTGACGGATCAGGTCTTGTACTTAGTTTTCATTATTAAAGGTTTCTTAAGTCCCTCTAAAATTAAGTGGTGACTCTTAAAAGCAAGTTGGTACAACATGAGTGTGAAAAAGCGCCTCATACCCAAAAAAGCACGGCATCCACAACACATGTAACATAAATTTCTATCAATTTGGATGAAATTATTGACGGTAGGGAAGTAAATTGCGAAACGGCAAAAATCGTAAGAGGATTAATTAGTTATATTTAAATGACTAAGGAGAAAGTGCTCAAGGACTAAACCATTAGGAGGTAAAGTAGATTTTGCCTTAAATTTTATTTTCTTTCAGCTTATTAAATAGTTTCTTGGCCTAGTGGTAAGTATAGCAATTCCAAATTCTATAAAAATAAATAAATCAAAGGTAGGCTAAAGTGAGCAAAATCTACAGAAGGAAAATATATGCTTAATAATAATATTACACTATTTACAGAAGTTATTAGAGACATATAGTACTTCAGATTCTGAATGTTTACTTTCAAACACATGGAATTGTTTTTGTAACACACACACGCTTTGATTCCAGTATGAGAGAATTAGTTTTTGGGGATTGTAGCAACCGGAGAGTGTTTCCAGCAGGTCCTCTTAGCTCTGTCGTCTCTTCTCCCTTTTTGCAGAAGAGAGTGCAGCATTTTGGGCAGATGGTTTTGGGGATGATTGTGGCCATTGTCCACAAGTAGCAGCCATGTCTCTCAGTTGTTGCAGGCCTTGAAGAGTTTCAATAATGGCTGGCATTCTTGGCCTGTCTTTGGGGTTCAAACTAACACATTGTAGTGCCAGAAGAGCCATTTCCTTTGCTCCTTTAACGGAATATTGGCCAGCTAGTCTAGGGTCCAGGTATGGAGTTGGCTGGTGTTTTGGTTAGCAGATGATTGTGTTGGGTGGTCTTTTTTCTGTTTTTCATTTTGTTTCTCTGTTTTGGATTGGTTTCTCGCCAATCTGTGGGTTTAGTGTTAGCAGATGATTGTGCTTCCTCCTTGATGCCAACTTAGTTAGGATTGTGGAGTGTTAGTTATGATGCTTTTTGCACTTCTCTCCTTTATTGATGTATGTTGTTGCTTGTTTTTGCTCTTCTCATCAATAAAGTTTACTTTTTCTTTGCTGATCAAAAAAAAAAAAAACATGGTTGTATTAATTAGATTTAAATTAAATGGTATCTATTTAGTCAATCACCTAGTTTTAGGTTTAGTCATTTTAGGGTTTAATAATAGATTGTATGAAATAATTAATCTTTAAGGCCAATCTTCAAATTGGACAAAAGGATGTGCTTTCATTCAATAACTTTCCCTTTTTATACCTTAGTTCCTGAACCTTGATTATTTGGTTATAACGGATCAGGTCTTGTACTTAGTTTTCATTATTAAAGGTTTCTTAAGTCCCTCTAAAATTAAGTGGTGACTCTTGAAGGCAAGTTGGTACAACATGAGTGTGAAAAAGCGCCTCATACCCAAAAAAGCACGGCATCCACAACACATGTAACATAAATTTCTATCAATTTGGATGAAATTATTGACGGTAGGGAAGTAAATTGCGAAACGGCAAAAATCGTAAGAGGATTAATTAGTTATATTTAAATGACTAAGGAGAAAGTGCTCAAGGACTAAACCATTAGGAGGTAAAGTAGATTTTGCCTTAAATTTTATTTTCTTTCAGCTTATTAAATAGTTTCTTGGCCTAGTGGTAAGTATAGCAATTCCAAATTCTATAAAAATAAATAAATCAAAGGTAGGCTAAAGTGAGCAAAATCTACAGAAGGAAAATATATGCTTAATAATAATATTACACTATTTACAGAAGTTATTAGAGACATATAGTACTTCAGATTCTGAATGTTTACTTTCAAACACATGGAATTGTTTTTGTAACACACACACGCTTTGATTCCAGGAGTATGAGAGAATTAGTTTTTGGGGATTGTAGCAACTGGAGAGTGTTTCCAGCAGGTCCTCTTAGCTCTGTCGTCTCTTCTCCCTTTTTGCAGAAGAGAGTGCAGCATTTTGGGCAGATGGTTTTGGGGATGATTGTGGCCATTGTCCACAAGTAGCAGCCATGTCTCTCAGTTGTTGCAGGCCTTGAAGAGTTTCAATAATGGCTGGCATTCTTGGCCTGTCTTTGGGGTTCAAACTAACACATTGTAGTGCCAGAAGAGCCATTTCCTTTGCTCCTTTAACGGAATATTGGCCAGCTAGTCTAGGGTCCATGATGCAGCGCAACCTCCGGCTGCTAGACAAGTAGGGCTTCGCCCAGTCAACGAGGTTTTGCTCACTCTTTAGCCTTGTTTTATCCATTGCTCTTCTTCCTGTTAATAGTTCTAGTAGCACCACCCCAAAGCTATATATGTCACTTCTTGTGGTCAAGTGCCCTGCATCATTCGTACACTGCTTGCTTTTAGCATACATATTGGTTATTTCCAAAATTTTGGGTGTTAATAATGTGACAATTGTGCATGCTATCATCATTTTGTTCTATTTGTCAACCACTAAATAAACTGTCTCATTTGGCTTTGTTTGGTAGACTAGAAATTTAGATATAATTCCATATATTTCCACAGTGATATACTTTTATAATTTGTTTCCTACAGGCTTCGCAATGTGTAAATTTTTAAGTCTATTATAAAACAAAACACTGATTTTTGAGCTTCAAAATGTTACCTGTACTGACGTATTCAGGAGCCGCATATCCATAGGTACCCATTACCCGAGTAGTAACATGGGTGTTTGATCCTTCAGGACCCATCTTTGCAAGTCCAAAGTCGGACAATTTAGCATTGAAATCCTGGAGAAGAGACAACTTCATCAAAGCACTTAACTACGTGACCTAATGCAGCAGTCATGCCACAGACTATTTTGGAGATCAAATTAAATGAAAGAGAGAGTGGTGACAAGAAAGCTGCATACAGAATCTAGCAAGATGTTGGAAGTCTTGAAATCACGGTATATGACGGGCTTCTCAGCACCGTGGAGGAATGCGAGCCCTTTTGCTGCGCCAGTAGCAATCTTCAATCTTGTGCCCCATGGCAAGGAAACTGACATCCCTGTTATTGTGACGCGAAATTGAAAAATAAAAGTTTCAAGTGATTCAATTATGTGAGAGATCAAAATTATCAAATCAATCTAATTTTTTCACGGATAACTTACTCTTGAACAAATGATTTTCTAGGCTGCCCCGAGGCATGAACTCATACACAAGAAGCCGCTCTTCATCTTCACAGCAATAGCCGATCAATTTAACCAAGTTTTGGTGCCTAAGCTGCCCAAGAAAAATCACTTCGGCCTTCAAGCAGAAAAACATTACATATCAGAGGACATTTTTTGATCAACTCAACGAAATGTATCATAATTTTCTCATCTTTATTTTCCTTCTCATGGACAGACACTTTATCCATTAGAGAAAAATTTGTTGATTTTGATTGAGTTCTTACACAAAACAACTTCACCAAACAATATTCACAACTTGTTACAAAATATAGTTCTTGAAATTGACAACAATGAGAAACTTTCAAATTTTAGTACCAAAATAAGCATCGAATTGCTGTGCTTATTATTCTTTCTTCAATTAATTAATTTATTTTTTCCCCAACAATAGTTATGGGTAAGACAAGGAGAGCCCTCCCCTAAAATAGACAAAAGGCAGGACATTAAAAAATTCTATACGTGGATCTAGAAAGAATATCTACAAAAATATTTAAAAACATAAAATAGATCCCATTAACATATTTCAAAATCTAGATAGTTTAAAAAACTGTTAGAGTGCAGGTGAACCATTTATATCCCAATCAAAAGTCTTTACCAAATAAAGTTACTAACACCTTCTTACATATTTAGAAAGTTCTTTTACGGATAGGAATAGGAATAACACTAGCAGAAGTTATTGGTGAGATTGAGTTAGTCTATTTCACAATGAAAACGAAGAATGAGAAACAGAAATAAGCTGGTTGCAATCAGCTGTCAAATGAAACTACTATGTATTCTATATTTTTATTTTGTTAGCAATGTTATAGAAAATATTCTATATTCTCTTAAATTTTTTTCATACAAAATAATGTAGTTATTTTTGGCCCTTAAATTTCAAATCATAACACCAACTTATATTTTGTGAAATATTATTAACACATCATTTTTTATAGAGTTTCTATATAAAGGAGCGGCTTTTATGTTGTTGTTAATATTATTATTATTGTTATTATTATTAGTTCATTTCCCATGATTAAATTTAGAACATTGCTATACAAATATATATATATATATATATATTTCCGTATAAAAATGTCTAGTTCCTTTGAATTCAAGTAAAAACACTCATCATTTGTGAGTTATAATGGTACGAATGGTATTACCATCATTCTATATGGGGTTTATATGTAAAAAATAAATAAATAAAATAATAATAATAAATGGTGATGGCGACAGAGAGAAAACAATTTACTACAAGGTATTCCTCTCCAAGAATTACGCCTACAAATTTTTTTTGATTGGCAAAAATCAATGATTAGCTGTTAAAATAGTATCTTAAAAGAGTTAAAATTCACGCTCATATATTTTGTAAGAAAATTTGCTTTCCCATTCTATTCCTAAAAGTGGAACCCAAGACCTCCCCCTTAGGAGACACTTGGTGGTCAATACTTTGGGCCCACATATTAATATAAACTTAATGAGACCTTCCTGTTAATTATGTTAGGTTTTCTCAAGTTCAAATTTAAATTTGAAAAAATTTTAGTCTTGTGAAGCTTACCAAGACTCTCATTTCGATAATCTAAGTAGTTCATTTTATGGCACCTTCCATGTATATCACTTATGGAAAAATTAGGTCAATCTTAATCGTCTCTTTTTTTATTTTATCGTATTTATCTTTAAAAAAATAGATGATATATTAAAAAAAATAAAAATAAAAACATATTTATGGACTGGACAACATAAGCATAAAAAATGTTGAAATTAATTGCTAATCAATGGAGTAAAAATGGGACTTGACCTCTATTTGTTTGCAATTAAATTTTCTTTTTTTTCATTTATTTTCAGTGCATGGAATGGCATAACTGGTTGAAGCATACACGAGTGAAGATGATGATCATATTCTAAGGTATGTAAGAATTAAATAAATAAATAAATAACAACCATGAGGATTTAGTATTATCTTACAAGCCATTCGCGATGTCCTTGTAAGCCTTCAATGTCGAGAAGCTTAACAGCAACAGGCTGAGGCTTCAAACCCTGTCTTAAATTGTCATCTATGTAACCTTTGTGGACTCTCCCAAAACCACCTTCTCCTAACAAGAAGTTGCTCGAGAAATTGTGAGTTATGGCACGCAACTCACTCAGCTGAAAATCATACAAATCGGACCCAAATGACTGTGCTAGATCTTCGTTGATCCTGGACGTCGATGATGAACGACTAAGATCTGAGAAGGATAAACGTCGAAATGAAGGCAATGGACCTATATTCTTTGACAAGTCTGATCTTGAAGGCCTGCACCGGCTAAAATTTCGAAAGACTGTCTGCTCTTCCACTGAGCAGCAATTTGCTGTCAAGGGTCTCCATGCCTTTCTCTCCTTCTCCTTCTCCTTCTCCTTCTCCTTCTCCTTCATTGTTGCTTGCTGCTTGTTGCTGCAAAAAAGAAAATTAAAAAAGTTTGAGAGGATTTGGTTTGATTTGGGAGGAGGATAATGATCTACTAACCATGTCCATGGGATGATTACTTAAAACACCATCTTTCTTATCTAAAAAGCCACTTGAGAGAGAGAGAGAGAGAGAGAATAATATTCTTCCTCTAACTGCTCCAACCACTCTACTAAATAGGCTATTTTGTACTAATCTTTTCCATGGAGATTGTTTTTGTTTCTTGATTTGTCCCTTACGTGATGTCTTCATGCAAAATGGGGTCAATATTGAAAAACTTTATTATAAATAAATAAACAAGTTTATATTGAAAACATCACCAAAAATTTCGTTGTGATGTCATTTTTATAAATAAAAACAATTCATAAATTACCATCTTTAAATCTATAATAAGATAATTTTCAGAGCAAAACTATATCATAAATTGTATTTGTCAAATAAAAATCATATTTTGTTGTAAAAAATTACTTAAGTTATATTATTTTCAATAAAATATTTGTTTGATTTTATTTTATATTAAATTTTAATTTTTGTGTTACTTTATGTCGGCCAAATGTCACCTTGAGGAAATTAGGGATCCTGGTTATGGAAGTAGACATTTGAATAACAAGCATAGCATATACCAAACCAATATTATTTCTGTTAGTCACCATTTACACCATATAAGCCGTTAGCCCCATGACAAATAGCACAATAATATCCATACAAGACCCAATTCAGTGTATATTTATTCTATTGTTAATTTTACGTGCTCATTATTCCACTTAAATCTTTTAAACCAATCTACTATTTAATATGACACAATATAGGTTATAGGACAAAATTCATTTTATTCCTTTTTGATTTGAGATTTGAGTACTTCAGCCTCTTATAATTTAAATATAGTCAGAAAATTTTCATGTAATTTTGGACCAAAGTTCAACTATTAACTCCATTAACTATAAATATAAAATGGCTATAATACTCTCAAATCCTATACATTTTTTGTATTTTTTTTTCTCGAAAAAATTAGTAAAACATCTCTCTCTAACTTTTGGTAGTAGGAGAGGTCCAATTATTTTTTTCTTATTAGTTAAGGTCTTCCAATAATATTATTAAAGACATTTCAACTCGTGAAATTTATCTATAGTGAGCTAAAATTTCTCTGAAATTTCTAAAATTTTTCAGTGGAGTTGAAATTTCTGAATGAAATTTCTGTTTCAAGAACTGAAATTTCTTTGTGAAAATGTTGAAGGACTCCAATTACTATGAAAATATTACATGTCATTTATCTTATAAAATTTTAATATCATGGGCCTTCAACTAGAAACACTTTTCTTTTTTTTTTCTCATCTCTCATACACATAATTTATAATTTCTAACATCAATTCATTAAACGCAATTAATCATAAATTCTTAATTATTTATTGTAATTCCTAACATTTTATTCTAATTTTAATTTAATTATATTTTATATCACAAATGATTTCCTGGGCATACTTTTGTTGAGAGAGGAAATAATGAGACCCAGTAGTTTGGATAGAAATGCCAAGAAAATAGGACAAATTGCCCAATTCTTTCATTGAAAATGCTAAGTGCATTTGTTGAACCAAATGTTGAAAATGAGAAGTGTCACTTCCTCCTATCAAGAGTATGTCATCCACATAGACCACTAAAATAGTAATCGAAGTAGGGGTTATATGAATGAATGACAAGTACTGTTGTGAAACCCTTGAGAGAGAAAGAAAGTTGAAAATGTGGAGTGCCATGCACGACGGGCCTGTTTAACCCCATAGAGTGCTTTATGAATCCTGCATACATGAGATGCCTGAGAAGACTCAACAAACCTAGGGGGTTGGAACTTGGATCATATAAACTTCCTCCTCAAGCTTGCCATGAAGAAATGTATTGGACATGTCCAATTGCTTCAAAGTCCAATGATTATGCAAAGAAAGATATAGAAGCGCTCGAATGGTGGAAAGCTCAGCAATTGGACTGAAAGTTTCTTGGAAATCCACACCCTCCTCCTGAAGATACCCTTAAGCAACTAATCGAGCTTTATAATGATCAGTAGCCCCCATATGAATTCCTCTTAATCTTGAAGATCCATTTGCAACCTAGGGCATTTTTACCATGAGGCAAGGGAACCGAAGACCAGGTCTGTTGTTTTTGTAAGGCCCCATATTCGTCTTACATAGCTTTCAACCAAACAAGAAAAGATGGAGAAGCTATACTAACAGAGGTAGAGGGAACTGTCTTGGTTTTAGACCTTGTCATCATATGACGTCTGTTGGATAATGGAGGAGGTAAGAGAGGCAAGGCAATTGAAATTGATTGAATGGGAATGGGTTGACATGACACAAGTAAAAGGCTGAATTGAACCAAACTGATGTGCAGGGGACTAAGGTGCAGAAGACTGAATTGCAGGAGACTAAGTAGCATAGAGCAGAGAGTCAGGCTCATGAGCTGTAGACTGCAAAGGTGCAACAAACTGGGAAGAAACATGATGTGGGGCAGGCTGCAGACCAGGCTGTGGACCAAACTGTGCTGCAGGCTGTGACACTTGTTGCTGGGTTGAAAAAGACAATGTGGGTTATGTTCGACCTGTAGCTGGCTGAAAAACTGCGATAGGATGGTATGTGGTAGTAGATGAAGCGACAACTGTTGGTTGTGTCACTGTCGAAGGTGGCTTAGGAGAAGACCTAAAGAAAGATTGGATAAAAGATAAAGAAAAAGAAGACAAAGAGGAGTTAGGAACAGAAAATGGAAAAACATATTCATTAAAGAACACATGTCTTGACAAATAGACTCTGCCAGTTGTGGGATCAAGGCACCTATATCCCTTAACAAAAGGATGATAACCTAAAAGGACACAAGAGAGAGATCTAGGCTACAATTTAGAGTCAACATAGGGTTTAAGCCATGGAAAACATTGGCACCCAAACACTCTTAACAAAGACAGATTAGGAATATATTGAAACAAATCCTCAAAAGGGGATTTATTAGAGAGCACAGAAGAGGGCATTCTATTATTCAAAAAGGTAGCAGTACCAATTGCATCAAACCAATAGTAAGGAGGAAGAAAAGCATGATGAATTAAATCAATTGCGTTTCAATTATATGCATGTGCTTTCTTTCTGCAATACCATTTTGAAGAGAAGTGTAAGGGCAGGAATATTGATGAATAATGCCATAAGAAGTGAGAAAATGCAGCATTTTCTTAGTAAAATACTCAGTGTCACCATCTGTTCTACGCAGCCGAAGAGAAGTAGAAAATTGTTTCTCAACATAGGCTTTAAGTTCTACAAATTTGGAAAAACTTCACTCTTATAGGCTAAGGGATATAACCAAATAAACCTACTAAAATCATCTACAAACAATACATAATATTTGAAGCCAGAAGTTGATTTATTGAAAGGACCCCAAACGTCACTGTGTATCAATGACAATGGTTGATTTATAGTGGAATTGAACAAATGAAAAGGTAATCTATAACTTTTAGACACACAGCAATCAGTATAAGAATCAATGTTTTTATGCTTTGAAGAAATACAATAAATACTCTTCTTTGGATGATCAAACTTCTGTGAAGAAGGGTGGCCTAGTCTATAATGCCACACAGCTGGAGAAATAGTTTTATTTGAGGAAGCATGAAAATAAGCCTGAGACAAAGAAGCATGTGATGATGTTTGTGGAGAAGCATCAATAGTATGTGAGTGAAAAAGTAACGACTATCAGTATTAGAACCCTTGTGAAGAATGTTCTTCGAGTACTTGTCCTGACTCACAAAGTGAGAGGCATCAAAAGTGATAAATATAATTGTTATCCTTAGCAAGTTGGCGGACTGAAAAAAGATTAGAAGAGATAGATAGAGAATGTAACACTTTATTAAGTTTGAAAGGAAAATGAGGTGTAGGTAAGATTCCCTTACTTGTATGATGAATAGGAACAGATTGACCATTGCCAATGCACTACAAGAGTTATGGGTTGTAGTGGCGTATTTTTAACGGCGTTTAAAATGTCACTGTTTATAATATTTAACAACGTTTTCAAAAACGTTGCATTTTTCTTTAAGTAAAACGGCGTCGTTTCATGAATAGAAGACGTTTATAAGCGCCTGCAAATGGGTTACCTGTCACACGCTCCCTCTCTTCCTCTTTTCACCATTATTTTGAATGTCCAAATCTCGAGCGCTCAGTGTGTGTATGTGTGTGTACGCGCACGCGCGTAGTCTAAACCCCATTAATATCTCAGAGTCATTTTGAACTCCACTATCACAAAATCGAAGTTCATCTCAAAATCGATTCAGATCGGTGAGCTCCACACACTCTCTCTCTCTCTCTCTCTCTTTCTCTCTATTTCTCTCTCTGCTGTCTAAACCCTAATTAGATTCATAGATTCAGATCGGTCTCAGGGAAATAGATCGGTGATTTAGATCATTTTGAAGTTCGAAGTTCTCTCTCAAAATCGAAGTTCAGATCATTTCAGATCGGTGATTTAGATCATTTCAAATCGGTGATTCAACCATTTCGAAGTTCTCTCTCGAAATCGAAATTGAAGTTCATCTCAGCGATTCAGATCGGTGAGCTTCACTCTCCCTCTCTCTCTCTCTCTCTCTCTCTCTCTCTCTCTCTCAAGCTGAATTGATGTTGCAATGTCGATTTGGTTGTTGAAATCAATCCTGTAAAATCCTGTGAATGGTTTTGATATTTGATTTGAAACGATCCTGTCATATGCTTTATGCTTGTTCAACATGGCTATTATCCTTCATGCTTGTTCCATAACTAATATTGAATAAAGGAAGCCCAAATGGCCTATAAATTAGAGAAAGCAATGTCAGAAGGAAGAAATTCAATCGACCACATCCTAAACTTTGATGTGGCTCAAATCTATGCTATACACTTTATTTTTTAATTATTTTTTATAGCTTTATCTTCTAAACAATTACTAATCATAGGTGTAAAAATTTTAAAACTCTACCCTTCACATTTAATTTTTTTTAGCTTGTTTAATAATCAACAGAATTATAGAAGAGTTGTAGTGATCTTATTGTTACAGATTATGCTTTTACACATTTACCTTACATCACAATAAAAATAAAAAAAGAAAAAAAAAAGATGTTGAATTTTTTTATTTAGTTTTGATTTAA